ACTGAAGCCAATTTTGGGTAGCATTTTTCCATATCTCGAATCAGTGGAATGAATTTCAGTGGCGCCACTCTTGCTGTCCTGGATCCTCCTCATTATGGAAACAATTTGCCAGGAATTTTGAATTTCTAAGCCGCACGCCATTTTCTGCATGTCGAACGGCAGATATATATATATATTCGATATTCGATCTTAGGATTATCTTGCGTCAGCTGGATGGCTGGGTTAATCCAACTTTCATGGATCAAGAATATGATGTCCTCATTTCAAAGCTTAGGAAATTTTTCTGCATCTACATCTGATGGAAAAGCGTGGAATGCGAGGAACATGCTTTCGCCACCACCAATATTTCATCTGCACGGCATGGATGCATTTTTCCTTCAGATGTTTCAGAACTCTCATTGGTCCATTCATTAACGAGGAGGGGAATCAGGGGGTATCTGCAGTGACTTTCGATCGATATCAGCATTTAGCGGTTCTTCTACATCACTGGAATTCAACAAGCTTTCGAAGCGTTCAGCTCCTCGCTTCCGGCGAATTCCCTTGTCTGATTGCGGTTTGTCCCTTGTATCACCGATGACACTCAAGTCTCATTACACACCCTAGACTGCTTCCTACGCCTTTCAGAAGATCGCAAATCTCTTCTTTTATTTGTAGCATCCAGCCAGCCAAATTTTCACCCTAACCACCTCAGTTTCTCTTGGGAATAGTTCATGTTCAGCAGAGTGACAAGTCGTCAGAGGACCCTATTCGAATCAGCGTTCTGTAATTGAGGCATAAGGGCTCTGAGTTGAAAGGGCGAGGGCATGAATTTTTTTCCAGAAGACCAGGACCTCGTTGTCCACTTTTTTATGAGTTCGGCATGGCACGGTTTGCTTGATCGCTTCAGCGACACATTCTCAGAATTCTTTCTGTGTCTGTTTGTGTCGATCCATTTTATTTTCTTGATGGAAAATGATTTAAGCGCAGGATCAGGTCCTTTTGAAACTGGGCCCTTGTTTCCGTGAATCTGAACATTTTCACATATAGGACTCGCGTTACTCTGACACTGTCAATCCATTTGTCACTTCAATTTTAGCCGCAGGTCAAAGATACTGGAATTTTTTCATCTTTTCTTCATTCAACCATCGCTAGTTCCAATGTCTAATGTGGAACCTTTCTGTTCCGCATGTTCAGGATATTAATTTTCGAATTCTTAGCCAAAATTGCTTTTCGCCATAACAAATCAGACCTGCGATTCATTTGGAACGCTTTGATGAAGCGGCCATTTAGCACGACCTTAGGTTCAACAGTACATACATTCATGTATTGACACATGACATTTGCATGATTTCGCTTGGACAGAACTGGTTTAGAACTCAAAATCAGTTTTTTTAACCTCGTCAACTCACCTTCAGGTTCATGACAGACTTTTAAGGGAACCAGGTGTACTATTTGTGGTGCCTCGACATTCAAGTGAGCAGGTACTTTGGCCGTTGCTTGCCACCTATCCGGTGGCGCCAACGTTTGATTTCTGAAAGCATCTGGAATTGCTAAGATACACATTTCACTTACTAGGAGGAACTGTTGCAAGTAAGCCTGTTTAAGCTGCGTTAAATTGCAGAACAAATTGAAAAGTTAATATTAATACAATGAATCAAACTTTAAACTTACAATAAAGTAATGTGCAGAGGTTCTGCTCTTAGGAATGGATATTTCAATTATAACTTGGTGTTTATTACCGTAAAGACTATAAGCTAGTATTTAGCTCTTGGATCATATATCCTCTGGCATCGACAATATTTGCGGATTTCATGGTCATCACTGGATTCGTGATAAGTAAAGTTGTTCCCGACTTCTTTGTGTTGTCTTTAACCATCAGTACTGCTAGGTACGACTTCTACAACTCAAAGTACATGAAACCATTGTTGATGCGAAAAGCGCCTGGTTCAGCAGATTTTTCACTGATTGAAGTATTCAACGAGCTGAACGTCAAAGAGGCGATGCAGCGTCTGAAGGAGTATGGCACTGAACTGTCCCCGAATCAGTTCCAGTCACTCAGCGCTCTGATGAGCAGTCATTTTGAGCAGTCACAGTGAGGAAACACCATTCCGAGTCTGATACCGTTCCAACATGTTTTGAACTAGGGAGCGACGAATCAACGCAGATTCGATTTTGTCAGTGACGACACCCATCCTTGACATGAACATATTCGACGTAGCCCTAGGAAGAAGGCTCCAATACGAGGTACAAGCTCATCATATCAGTGAAGATCCGGGCTACTATCGATTCAGTACAGTAAGTTGTTACTTTGTTGCTTATAACTTTTATATTCCTTGCACTAGTAGAACTGTTACTTTTGTAATATTGCAAGTGCTATATGAGATCTACTGACCATTCTTAAAGGAAGATGTGGTCCGCTTGACCGTGCAAGCAAGTATTAAATTTTTAGGAAGATATCTCAAACGACAATATGACTGATTAGTGTGTTATATAATACCTGCCCAGACCAAAATCGCGGTGATGAACCTGCTTTCAGTTTTTGCATAGATTCAGCGCTATCAGACACTCTGCAAATTTTCTGTGGTATGGAGGCCATTAAGGAAACATCCGCTATGCAATCTCTCTCGTTCATCTTCGTCTTCCTTCTCTTGGACTGTATCCTTGACTGGACATTATAATGTCATGTTTCTCACGTAGGGTGGATTAGTTTTCATAATATGGTTAAACTGCCATAAACGTTTTCAGACACAATCTTTAGTGCGAAGTTATGTTAAGAATCAACACTACTTTTCAGCTTTACTGTCGTTTGTAATACCGTATCTCAAGTGCGATTTTCCGTCTAATTCCACGGTAGTCAATATTGCAAATCCGTAGCTTGCAACCGACTACAGTAGAAACTTGATAAATTTCAGTTGTATGGTGCTTCTGATTATTTCTGCGTAATTGGTTTCAAGAGTACAACTTACTGCATAACAGTACAGCTTTCTGGTCATCAGACAGAAACGGAAGGGCTTATTAAACACCATAAGTTTGTACTGTTAATAATAAAAGCATATAACTAAACCAAGACGCTTTAGCAACCCAAATTATGACAACGTTTAAAAATACAAAACTAAACCGTGCTTCTTTTCTTGGTCACAAAAGTGATGCAGTGGATAAGTAGTTTAATGTGCGGGCTTCGAAGCGATCAGCCAAGAAAGTTGACAGGCAAATTGCAGGGTCATCTTGGTGCCGTGAGGATGTCGTACCGGCGAATTCGAGGCTCAACTCCATGCTCTCTGATGCGTGTGCTGCAGGACCGAAATT